TTGGAGCAACCTGGGATAGTGGGAGGTGTCCCTGCCCATGGCAGGGGGTGGGATTGGGTGGGATTTGAGGTTCCTTCCCACCCAAACCAGTCTGGGATTCCCTGGTGATGGACACAGGGACACATCTGGGTCCGTCCATGGAAGAGCCGTGATTTGTGTCCGTGTTTCCCAACGTTTGGGCACCACAAAACAAAGGGGTTTCCCAAAGCTCACTTGGCTCGGAGTAAACGGTCTCCACGTCCATCTGTGGGATGAAAGGAAAAGGGAATTCCGGAGTTCCTCCTGAGGGTCAGTGGGGGGGGTGGGAAGGGGAGAGGGAGGGGAGAGGGCACCATACCCGGAACTCCCCGATCACCGAGTCCGGGCGGAAAGATCGGGAATCCACCACCTGGGGGGGAAAACACGGGAAAAGGGTCAATCCAGCCCCGACCCGCCCAGGATGGAGGATCCCACGGGATCCCAGGGATCCCTGGCACTCACGGTGATGAAGACGGGCGTGTCAAACAGCTCCGAGGGCGACTCGAAGACGTTGAAGAAGAAGGTCTGCGGGAAAGAGGGATCGGGGTTCGGGAGCCTCCCGACCGCTCCCAAGCCCCCAGTTCCACGGGATGGATCCTCCCGCCCTCCAGGACACGGGGATTCCCTCTGGGACCTCAGGAAGGTGACGGGATGAAGGCAGGACCCGCCATCCCCACCCCAACCTCCAGTCGCTCCGGGATTTTCATCCCTCAGGAAGCCAATCCCGGTGCTCCCGGGCAGTGCCAGGATAATGAATATTTATCAGGATATATCTGATATATTCTCCCAGTGGTGGTTTCTCAGGGATTTGATCACGATCTTGCTCTGCTGCTGTTCGGAACAAGTAGATTTTGGAGGTGCTGGTGATTCCTCCACGGAATGGTCACGGGGTGATGACCACCCTTGGCGGTGCCAGTTGGGTTTGGGGCTCCAGCAGGTTAAAAACGACCTAAAACTCCTTCTCTATTTTATATAAACCTTAAAAAAATGCGTATTTAATGAGGTTTATGTGCTACAAATACATAGTTGATGGATCTTAAAGGCAGGGCTATAACAGAACATCTTTCCTGACATCCTGAGCTTGCACGTGAGGATTGCTGATGATTCCATGGATTTATTGATGATTTAGATGAGGGGATTGAGTGAACCATCAGCAAATGTGCAGGTGACACCAAGCTGGGGGGGGAGTGTCCATCACCTGGAAGGCA